ATGCAATCCTCTTTCAATGTAAGGGCAAAAGCTGGTATTTCACCAGAAAAAAAAGGTGAAGTCCATATTACCTAAAAAAGAAAGAGATGAAGACTGGAAAGAGTTCTTTTCCCAGCTGAACCATTGATACTCTGCTGAAAATATGCAAGTAAGTCATTTCAAACAAAGTATACTGTGACAGCAGGGCTTTTAGCATTTTATAAAAATACTCAAGTGAATGTAAAATAATCTTACAACTTCATTAAAAATTTACTGAATATGGCGATGAGGAAATGTCTGCTTTACTGTAAATAAAACCCCTAAAGGAGAAATATTTTTAACCCTAAAAACAGATGCAACAAAAGCAGTCAAGCATGAAAAAAATTACAGTAACAGTAATGCAACCTTCAAAAAATATATAGCCAATGAAAGATGAGGGCTCATTTTCTTAAGCTTGAGTATTCATAGATTGCCCTGACATACTTTATTTAACATTCACAGACATCATGTTTCCAAAACATTAGGCACAGACTCATTTACCATGTCTGTGCACACTAATGGAACTAAAAATCAAGAACAGCAAATGAGGACAGTATATTCTCTTCTGGAAAGCATCTGAGAGAGTTGCTTATAAAGAGAAAGACATTTGCAGTATGAACTGTCCACTCATCACAACTTCCTGAGTCATTGCAGACCGAGTATCGCACCTCATTTTGAAAGCTAGCTTGCAGCAGCAGACTTTTGAGAGGCGGTCCGGAGCTAATTACAGTCCAACACCATGCAAACATGCTCAGAGGGATTGTAGAGTTTTCATCTGCCACTCCATTACCCAGCATGGTGAACATGGCCCCAGTGTAATTCTCATCCCCCCTCCTCCAATTTCGTTAGGTTTTTTCAGAAAGAGTGAAGAATGTTTCTTAGCTACTCACTCAGAGAGCCCCGAACCTACATCTTCCTGAATTCCTGAAATAGATTTACATATCTCATATTCCACTCATTCTACCCGGTCAGCAAGTCTTACAACCATCTCACAGACACGGTGACAACAGCAAAAAGGAGCACCACAATCATCTTTAAAGAAAATTAACGAATGGACTGCTTAACTGAAACATTCAGGTAACACCAGATCAATTAATCTTGCTCAAGGAATAATTATATTCCCATATGATTATAAAGAAGGGATCCATGACCTGATATGTAACTTGTTAAAACTTTAAAGAGTATGGCATATTCTATACATGAGTATTTACATGCAATACCATTCTATACAACCAGCACTCCTTCAGAGTGCAACTGTATGCTGCAGCTCTTTGTAGCAAATATATTTACACCAGTCAGAACAGAAGGGAAGGAAGAAAGTAAGAAGTTACATCCTCTGCTATGATTTTTTTATTATTCTGCAAATTGACCCTGGCAAAGACTTGAAATCCAAACTTCTAAAAATACAACACACTAGAAAAAATGCCTTCCTAACCCCACTGCCATGTCAATCACATCTTGAGAATTCATTCCAAATGTCACTGAAAGCCGAGAACTGCAAATCCTAGCAGAAGCTACTGAATCAGAAGATTAATAACAATGATAAAGTTGATAGAGCCCCAACACTTTCATCAGTTTGTCATTAGATATGAACACACCAGCTGGAGTTGTCAAAAGTGGCTGAAAAATCAATGCACTAGTATCTTAGGCCACACTTCAAAATCATAATAACCCCACACTTTTGAGATATCATCCCTTACTTCCCTTGCCTCATTCTTTAAAGTGATATGTGTAGCATTCCAACAGATAGACCATCAAGTCTCCAGGGGTAGCTATCACGCACTATATGAATTTCATTCCACACACTTGGTACCTTATGCAGTACATAAGTAACCAATACAGGAAAGGGAAGACATTTTAAAAGCGCATACAGAAAAGTAACTGGGGGAACAATATTAATTGGCATTAATGTCAAGTGGCCCATTCCATTTAAACTCAAAGCACACTCTTGAAAATGTAAGACTTGAAAAAGTCACTGAATTGCTAACATATCTTTAGTTGGACAGTAGCCAACTCAAGACTCATTCATGATCTAAACGCTATATAATAAAATGTAACAGTGGAAGGTTGCTTCCAACATCCTAGGTGTTTCACAGCACAGGTTGCTGTGTCTATCGCCTTCTTTTAAAACAAGCAGGCCAAACTAAAAAGATTTTTTTTTCTAGTGATATTTATAGCATTAGCAAATTTCCTAAAGAAATGGAATCAGTCAGGTTATATCAAGGTAATGACTTGAAGCCTTTTCCGAATTACCTAGTTTCAGCTTGTTTTATATACACTATGGAAAGCCAAAATTACAGGTAATGTATGCACGACTACTAGCAAGGAACTTTTCTGAATATGGATGCCAATATTAGCTTTATCATTCTTGGTTAAGACACAGAATAGATCAATTTTTAGAGGTATGTGGAACTTGCAATTCCCATAAATGTAAAGATTAGAAATTCTAATCACTTCCAGAAGTTGGTTCCTCACAGCTAGGTGTCCAATTACAAAATTCTGTGAAAAATTAAAGGTAGCCCCTCCTCCCTAAGCATTTGGGTCACTCCTACGAGAAGCTGGATATGGCTTACGCTTATACTGTAACGTCCAGCACTGGACATTGTCCTGTATCTTGTTACAATAACATACGCTCCAAACAATCTTCCTACTCTGCAAACAGAATACACCTGTGATGCTTCAATGTGATACATCCTCCTCCTTTTCAGCTTTATGAAACCAACAGAGGATATGCTTTCAGCATCTCCGCTCAATTTGGCCAAAAATTTCAGCAGAGCAGGGCAAGGGAAAAATCTAAATGTATAAATTCCAAATTCAAGCAACATTAAGTACATAATTTAATATGCATCCTACAGTAAATACACCAGCACATATGCTGGCTTCTTGTTTTTCTGCGAGGAGGCTTTGCACTGAGCAGTAATTATTCTCAGTCTACTTCTGTGGTTGTCTTCCCCAGTACCATATGTCTCCGAGTCACCAATCCAAGCAACGTGATAACTCAAAGCATATTATGTTTGTACTTCAACTTTGTACGACCTGATTTTCACTGCTAGTCTGCCATCCTGCATGAGAGAAAGATGGGCACCTGAATGCAGTACAGCCTATTATTGCTACCACTTAAGCAACTACATTGCTGTCTGTCAACATGCATCTTCCATTTATTTTATTTTTTGTTATTAGATACTTCCTCCTTAAACATCTCTCCCCATGAAGAAGGGACAGAAGGAACATTCTTAAAATGTTTTCTGAGGCTAACAATCTCCTATCTTCTTCACTTACCTCCTGTAAGCAAACCTCTCCAAAAAGGAGATGTCCTGGGGTTCTTTGAGGGCATTATCCCTTCTTGTCACAAGGGAACCTTCTGAGTAAAAAAGGATGCAGATTGGCCTGAGAGTTGATTGGGAATCTTGGAAGGGCAGCGGATGAGACTAGGAAAGCAACAGCAATCAGGGAGCTGTGCTCAAACACGAAGGCTCCCTGACTGTCTTTTCAGATCCTGAGGATAATAATGACTTCCATCTACATCTCTGGAGAAGCAGGGAGAAGAGCATAACTAAGTTTTGCCATCAGAGACATAACCATACACAGGTTCTTGGATGCGACTTCCCTCTTTGTCATCCTGTCTCCAAGCTTTGCTACCCTCCCAGGGACTCTAAAAAGAAGGAACACTATTTTCTCTGCCTCAGACCCCATTTGTTTCATGCCTGCTTTCATGCCTTCATTGCCACGATAACAGTAATTTAACTTAAATTAGGTTATATCTTGCTCAAAAAACATTTATCAATTCTGTCCGATTCCTTTCCTGTCCAGAAAAAGGCATGCAAGAAAAGTAAGGATTCCCTAGCTCTGAAAGAAATACTTTTCCATTCTGAAAGACTTTTATCAAAGGCTGCAGCAAAAGGCACCATGTTTTCCTTTCTATCACGTTTTTCTCAGACTCTTTCACTACCTGAAGCTAACTTCATCTAGTGCAAATAACCAACAAAAGGAAGCCAAACTGAGGGGAAAAAACATCCTCCAGAAGTCAAGGAAAGTGTTCTCCAGATGTTGATGACTCTTTCAATTTAGCTGTTTATATACAACTCAGTCTAAAACTTGATTTTCACCGAAATTTCTTCAGGGGAGCTGCAAGAAGGGAGGTCTGAATAAACTGCAGCCTAATAGAAAGTAGAATAAATACAAAAATAAAAAATTTAAGTAAGCCAGAAAGTAGAGCATTTCCAAGCTGTCAGCAACTGGCAGGGCAAGTTCTGCTTTCTTCTGTCTAAAAAAAGGGCAAGTTTACAGTAGTGAAGTCTAGCCTCCTTAATCAGCTGGCAACCAGACGCTGCCAGTAATAAGCTAACACAGCAGGCATACATTGCCTGAGATAGTTGAAGTAACTTGAGCAAATGGAATGGAGCCACTGGAATCTACTCCCATCTTTCTAGGCAGACCGAAGGACTTGACAGCCATAAGAGGAAGGGGGGAAAAAAAAACCCAAAAACACACAGACAGACAGAAAGAGAGAGAGAGAGAGAGAGGAGTAACGGTCTCCATTACAGTTCTTCGGTGATAAGAACTGATGGAATTACACTAAGTGTATTGTCCTGATTTTGCTTTGGGAGGTCTGCATTGCTGCCTCTCACTGAATTAGCAACACTTCACTACTGTCATGCTTGAGTGCCATGTGCTCAGCCCCTCTTTCTATTGCTGTAAAGGAAGACTATGATGAAGAGACAAGTCCAGTAAACTGGACCAAAGGCCTAAGTGGAACAAGGCTCTCAAACGTGATAGCATTTCTTCAGCTGTGTTGTACACAATTATAGCAATTTACCAAATGCACAATGGAAAGAGCTATTAAAACCAAAGTTCTACATTCAAGTCACGCAAAATAAATATTGCATTCACACACCTTACATGTTTACTCCCTCCCCTTCTCATTAAGGGGAATAGTTTCTTTCCACAGAGTGGCAGGAGAGAAAAAACAAAAATGCCCTTACCTGACCATAATCTGTCCTGAATACGATGACTCCTTCCGCACAGGAGTGAACAGTACTTGGATAATGCTGATCATTTTCTCGCAACCAGACCCGAGACCCCTACAATAAATAATAAAAAAAATAAAGTTACAGATGGCATAATTCAAAGCTGATCAAAGAATTCCACTCAAATATTTTTCTTGAGAAATATTTATCAGGTAAAAGGAGAGAAAACAAAGGCAAAATCCAAAGAAGCAACTGAAAGACAGGAATAAAATAATCTCTTATCAAACATTCGTCAGTTAATGCTGAGACAGTTTTGTCTCCCCTTTTATAAAAGTTCCTAAATGCCAGCAAGAACAGCTGGAACTAATTCACTCAGTCATGTTCCTCATGTTAGTACATATAAAATTACAAACTAGTGTCCGACTTTACACACAGTTTATAAGATCTTCCTCAAAGCTGTCAGGCTCACTACCTGTTTATTTTCAACCTCTGCTTGGATCAGTGCACTTCCACCCAATCATCTGCATAGGCTCCGTTTCACATTTTTTCTAAACCACTTTGACCTTTATACTGTCCTCCTCTCATGGCTGCACAAGAGCTCAGGATAATAAACAAAACAAACAAAACCACAAAACACACACTAGCAAAAAAGTGATAAAGGAATAATAATGTCTAATTTTTAGAGCTAGGGAGGCAACTGAAACACAATCAGCCACCTACACCTGTCTATTAAGACAGGGTAGGCTCAGGCTATTTTAATTTCCACCTGGCTATTCACAACCCTCCAAGGTAGATCCAGCAGCCAGAAAGCAGAAGTGTACAGTGCTAAGACTAAGAAGGGAGGCAGATGTGGGAGGGAGCCTCCTCTACAGGAGGGGGAACCTACAGCTGACAGTACGGCTGTAGTTGTAGTGAGACTACAGAAGAAAGCAGCATCCAAAACATCAACAATACCCACTGAAGTTGCTTCAGTGTAGAAGAAGCCTTCAGTTGCCACCAAGATATTCAGCAGCAGCACCCCAATGGTCTGACTTTAAACCCAAACTACACTGTCATTCTCCAAAACTGGATAGCAGGCTCCAACATCAGAAAGGCAGTATTTTACAGGTATTTACAGAAGAGATTTTTTCATCAGAATGGATAAATTCTCTCCAGAAGTAAAGGAGCAGTAGAAAGGGATTATGAAATATCAGTGAATTTGTGTGAATGATCACTTAAGACTCAGTTCAAATAATTAACTTTATATCTCAGCATCCAAAGACTGTCTACAGTCTATGAATGTGTACATATAGAAACTAGATTTACAACCTTTCTAAAAGTTGGGAGAAGGGGGTTCCTTATGGACGATCAGAACAAGTACAGCCTTTTTATTTGTTACATACTGAAGGTGAGTGGCCCTATGATAGAGTTCAGCCGTGTTACGAGTTGGATACCCTTCAGATTTTACTGGATACACATTATTCTTGTTTCTATGTCGGGCAAATAGCAGCACCAAAAAGCAAAGCGATACTCTCAAGGAGAAGAAACTTTTGCTCTTTCACTTCTCTGAATGGTAGCAGCTTAACTACATACATACATACATACGAGTAGGCCTGGCCTTTTCTCCCTCCATCTTTTGGCAAACTGCATTCCATTTTAAAGGCTGTAAGCGTACTCCATTCTACCTTTGAAACCAGATGGTTTCCAGGTTCATAGCAAATCTAAGGCAGTTCAAACACGTGGTATGTCGACTTAAAGCACAGGGTCAATGCAGAGCAGGAAAGAGCACACAGTGTTGAGAAGGGCAGAGGTGAGCGGAAAGCAGAGAGCTAGCAACTGAAAAAGGCAAGAAGGAACAAGGGAACTAAGAGAACAGTGGAGAGAGGACACCTGAGAAATGGTAAAAGTAAGAAAGGATTTAAAAATTTAATCCAATGATAACAGTGAGAAGTTCTCCACCAAGATCCTCAGGTCCAAATCAGACTCTGGCAGACTAAACACCCTGACGCTCAGGGTACCTGTTTTGTTTTTAATAGTCTCAGGTAAGACTAATACGCTCATACTGACCAGTTTAAGGGCACCTTTCACTTTGTGTTTTTAAGAGGGAGAAGGGCTGAAGTGAAACCAGACATGCTCCAACAGATACAGAAGCCTTTTCATCCGCACAGTGTTTCAGAGCTACCAGATGTTTGCTTCCACAGCAAGCCATTCATCTGAATTTTCTCTGCTACGTTTCAGTTAAAGCCAACAAATAAAAAAAATAGGTTTTTCTTCCTATGCCTTTAAGTACAACACAGATTCAAGAGTGATGACAACTCTGAAGATGACATCCTCAGTATTGAGCAATATTTACCACAGCTACAAGTGCAGCAGACAAAGGCTTTTTCATATTAACTACTGAAAAGCACAGCTGTTACCATCAGCAAACAGCCCCCCCCCCCCCCGCCACGACCACCACCACCCCAGAGGGAGTCCCTCCCTCACGTATGCGGTACCAGCTCCCACAGGATCCCGTTGTTCCCATATGGCTGCACGCCCTTCTGAACCAAAGCATCCTGCCTACTGACGACAGAAGCGGGCTGCGAGGTAAAGCTGACACTTGCAGCTGCCTGTCAACTCGACAAGCTCGGTTCCCAGCAGCCAGCTGCTGCCCAGGAAGCGTGGCTGCCTTCGCCAACTGGCTCTTGAACGTTCACGTTTTCGTTTGCTCCCTATGCAGAAACAAGCCAGCCACACGGGCACATGCCTCCTGATCAAATACAAGTTAAAACCGCACTGTGTCCTCTCACGGACGCACACGGACTCAGGTCGCTGAGTTTATCAGAGCGGAAAGAGGACACGGAGCAGTGCAAGAAACAGGCTCTTCCTCCGCACGCTGCTCCTCCTTGTGCAGCTGTGCTCCCTGACAGGCAACGCATTAGGCCCTGGCTTGCTGTTACCTCCAATACTGTCTCCTAAAACAAACTGATTTCTGAAGTTCCCCTTGCAACAAGGGGATTTTCAGAAACTCCTTTACAAATAAAGAGCAATCTGCTACAAAAAACATGTATGTCAACATGCTATACACACAACTGGCGTAAAACATACTGCATACATGTGCACACTCAAGTATCTACTAAGCACACTCTACTATATAAAATGGTCAGAGCAATTGGAACAAAGTCTTTTCCTCATTTTTTTTTTTTAACATCCTTAGCCTTGTCATTAAACCTACGTATCAAACAGAAATACTTATAAAAGCATTATTAGACATAATACTCCTACATTAACATAAGAGACTAAAAGAAAAAGAATATGGAGCCTATAAAACAACCCCATTCAATCTGACAATCACTGTTTGAATATTTTTATTATTAATGGAATCATCCTGGCATGAAACCGAAGTAATGGCATGGTTCAAATCGTGGCAAATGTCCCCTTGGTCAGGATCCTCTGTCTTGACAAAACGTTCCCACAAGAGCAAGGCATAACAAAGCTTCCCCTCACTCTGCTTTCTTCTCCTCTCCCAACAACTTTAATGAAGGTGACTGACGCTGCCAAGCTGTGGAGACCTGACGACTAGAGGGGTGGAGGCATGTGTTACAGTCACCACAAGCAGAGAAGCAAATTTGGCCCTGGAATCCCAGAGAGATGCTTTAGCTAGTTTATTGCTGGGCAAGAAGCATCTGCACTGGTCAGACCCCACCTCCTCCCTTGCGAATTTGATCTATCTAAATACATAAATAAGTTGCAAAAAACTATTTAACGGAACGAAGATGTGACAAGTTCTTAGAGTGCTTCAATACAAGCAAAACCCTGTCGTTCAGCTAGTTTATTATTTGCCAAAATCTCCTAGCTCAAGTGACAAGAAGTTTATGCTTTCAAGGTCAATGAAAAGCTTATAAACATTAAGCCACAACAATATTTGCCAAAACCTCTGCGTTCAAAATAGTCTCTAATAAGAAGAATGTTTTCCATCTTGAAATTAAATATTTCATTCTTCATCCTTCTGACTACGAAGGAAAAAAAAAAAGCTGCCTGCACAGAAGCATTCAGTTGGTTGGGCTAGTCCTAAAATAAGCTTTTTAAAGCGAGTATGAAACAGTTTGATTTAAACAAATGTACATTGTTAAGGGTCAACAGCTACTATTCAGAGGAGGCTGGAACAATGCAGTTCACAAAGCCCGAGGCATTTGAAATGCAAATACAAAGTGTTCCCTGGCAAGGTAGTTCAACAATACAGTATCTGTCCAGGGGTATAGGGTGCGCTGCAAGACTCTCCGCTCAGTGGTGGGGACACTCTTCACAAGGGATTCCATACAAGCTCCACAAGTTAAAACTGTACTGTGTCTAGCTAGCTACGCAACTATCCTGCAATCTCTCTGCGATATACAAGTTACTCACAAATCAGTTTCGAGAACAAAATCCTCACTAATAACTAATTTATGGAGAAGATTTAAGATATACTTACATTGAGTCTTTGGATCTACAAAAGCCACAAGTGAGGCTACTTTGATTAAAGAGTCCAAGTTTGTTTCTATTTTTCAATTCTCAAGCAAGTACAATGAATGGTGTTTTGAAACTGCCCACCATCTCTGGCAGGTCATTTTAGAAGGATGTCAACAACTCTGAAGAGGGTCTATATGTTTAGTTAAACTCCACTAAAGAAAGTTAAGTTATAAACTTCAAAAGGTCACTGAAATAAGATTCTGAGTTGCCCTTTCTTAGGCACGCAGAGCCTTCAAGTTACCTGCAACTGCAGAGAATAATGCTACAGACATCCTCACTCTGAGGTAAAGTGAGGACTGACCTGCAGCCCTTTGAGGAAAGGAACAGAAACCAAACTGTTTTAGTCTGAAGGCCTCCTGGATAGGTGTGAATAACTGCCGACAAAGATTAACTGGAAAGGCCAGCTTCTGTATCTGTTGGAGATCCAGCCACTGCAGCCTGTGAGCCAGGCAATTGTGCAAATATCAGCACAAGACTTGTATGAGGAAGGACTCCACTGAACGCACATAGCAGTGCATATTGTTCTAAAACTATTTTTAGAAGAGAAGCCTGATAACTTTGTTACTTTAGAACTCCCTGACAAGCAATTTGGCATACTGCCATTCAGCTATTCTAAAATAAAAGTGTGTGTGGGGGGGGGGG